CTCTCTCTCTCTCTCTCTCTCTCTCTCTCTCTCTCTCTCTCTCTCTCTCTCTCTCTCTCTCTCTCTCTCTCTCTCTGTCTGTGTGTGTGTGTGTCTGAAGCATGCTCATAGACAAGGTAAGCAATGCAAAGGAGCAAAAGGACCAGTGAGGTGAAGATCAGGACTCGGACATACACAATGAGATCGATAGCATACATAATGACATCAGAGAGACAATGTGTATCCATACAATCATAAAATAATACAATGTAGCACAGCGGAAGACTCAAACATACGACCTGACTCAATGGACAGACCTGACTCATACCATCATCATCACACATTTGAGAGAGAAGGGAGGCCGCATACACAGAGGACAAGGTCCCACCCCCCTTGAGCACGCACATGGGAGGTATACCACAGATGATGGGAGAGAAAGGAGCGAGACAAAGATGGAGGCGAGGGAGTAGACATGAGTCGAATACACTGCTGTCAAAAAAATAGTCTCCCTGTCAAGTGTCCAACCAATGTCTGCCCCAAGAAAGTCGAATCAGATCCTGGGCCCCATAGCCCGTAATAGCTCTGCCTGTAACCCTTCTCTCTCTCTGAAGAAGAAGAGGAAAAAGAAGAAGAAGAAGAGCAATGACTATGGAGGTTGGAGTCAGGAAGAAGGAGAAGAAGAAGAAAAAGAGAAGTCTCCTTTGTCTCTCCCTCACCTGCTACTGCTGAAGTCCTGCCGACACTGACTTGTTATGTACCCAATTGAACTTCAATCCACAACGAATTCACACGTTCCCATACACGCATGCAATTGCAGAGTAGACTCGAAGGAAACAAATACACACAAAACCGGAGAGAAGATATGCACAGTGGAAGCTCAAAGCACATAGAGAATTGAAAAACGAATTTCAATTCTGCAATCCCTCGCACTCCTCCAATCAATCCAGAGTACTTGTTCCAAGAATCACAACCGCGTTTACAACAACCCCGAACAACCAGAAACAAGTGTTCAACGAAATATATAGGAGTCTTCTTCTTCCTCCTCGCCACCTCATATCCCAGGCTATGGCTGCCGTAGCAGCAGTGACCCCACAGCTGTCACAACGTGCCAATCTGAACCAGCAACCCTGACGATAACAGCGCAAGCTCAGCACCCACACGGACGTGCAGCCCTGGGAGTCCTGATGAAGAAGGAGACAACCGTTCCGACACTTCGAAGAAGATGGAGTTCCTCGTGAGGAGGAACAGCAGATATGGCTGCCAAGTGGAAAGTGGCAGCACTCAAACCCAACAACACAGTCCTGTGGAAGCTCTCATGCAAAGCTGTGAAACAGCAGCAGCGCAGTCTTCAACGTCCTTTCCCAACCCCAGCTATGGCTGGGCTTCGAGGAAGAAGATGACCTCGCCCAAAATAGCGCAGCAGCGCTCCAGCAACGGACGGGCAGAGTTTCCCCAGTCAAACGAGATGCAAAAGACCCGAACTAATTTTCCTGCCCGCTACTTCTACCTTCCGCCTAGACCTACGACGGACTCCCAAAAGCAACAACCCAAGACTCATCTGTATCTAGATGGAATCAGGTAAACAAGGGACCTAGACCTATGACAAGGCAAAAGCAAAAGCCCGAATGGCCTAAGACTACCAAACAGAGACTACCAGTGACAGACTCAGGGATCAAGTCCCATAGGGCTCAAACAAACAAACAGCAAACAAACAGGCAACACAGCAGACAAAGGTTGCAGGATCAAGTCCCGAAAACAACGACAGGGACAAAATTAGTATACAGCCCGCCTGCAGCACTGCAATTCATTGCGTACTGGTGGAATGGCGCTCTCTGATGCAGGTCGCTGAAGTGCAGTCCAAGCTATGGCGCCCAGGTAAGTCGTCCTCCAGCCAGCGGCTATGGCTCTCCATCCTCTGCTCTCCCACTACCTACTACTCCTCTACCTCTACCTCTAACGCAGCACTCCAGAGTCGCATGCTGCTCCAACAGCGTGATGCTCACAATGTTGCCCAACTGAAATCTGTTGAACTGGACTGCCCTCCCACTAGATATAGTGTTAGCCCACGGTCTGCATACAGGAGCGTCCAGATCAAAGATCCGATCGAAGGCCCTGAATGCAGGCCCAAATCCTCCTCCTAGTGGTATCCTGCTGCTAAAGCAGGCCCTACCTATTAGGGGAAACTCTGGGGTGACACACCTCGAACCAACAAAAATGGACCAGACAGCAAGATGCAACAAATAAAGAAATAAATAAATGCTGAATCAAAAACAGACACCAAGACTCAGCAAAAAGATAAATAAGGGAATAAATAAATGCTGAATCGAAAAAAGACAACAAGACTCAGCAAAAAGATAAACAAGGGAATAAGTTAATGCTGAATCCAAAAAAGAACCTGCATGAGGCAGAAAAACGTGCCTGGCCTGGAAATGGCCGTGGGCCTCCAGGTTGCACAGCCAAAAAATGGCGTGCGGCCTGGGGGTCCCTAACAACCGCCAGGCCCTAAGAAAAAGGGCCCCTGTACAGGCCTCAGCCTGCTACTCTCTCTCTCTCTCTCTCTCTCTCTCTCTCTCTCTCTCTCTCTCTCTCTCTCTCTCTCTCTCTC